CACTGTTGGACAATTCCACGGAACTAATCCAATTGTTACAAATATTTTATTCCAATCCAAAACTTGCTTTCGACGACTCCATTTTCGTCCCAAATCAAAATCCAAATTAGTTAGGATAAAATCTAGGGGGAAAAAAGTGAGAAAAAGGGAAGAAGAGAATTAGAACTATCCTCTAATTATCCACAATTCCAAATTAAAATATTGCGTTCGATCCAAAATCTCCAACAACTCCATTTTCATCCTCCAATTCCAAATCATATCCAAATGTTAGGATCCCATCTCGATTACAGGAATAAAATCTAGGGGAAAAAGTGAGAAAAAGGGAAGAAGAGAATTAGAATTATCCTCTAATTATCCGCAATTCCAAATTAAAATATTGCGTTCGATCCAAAATCTCCAACAACTCCATTTTCATCCTCCAATTTCGATTACAGGGATAAAATCTAAAAAGAAAAAGGGAAAAGGAAGAAGAGAATTATCCTTTAAACACAATTCCAAATTAAAATATTGCATGATCCAAAATCTTCAACAATTCCATTTTCATCCTGCAATTCCAAATCAAATCTAAATGTTAGGATCCAACTTCGAAGCTCGATTACAGGGATAAAATCTAGGAAAGAAGGGAAAGGGAACGAGAGGAAGGAGGGTAAATTGGGCTTTGAAAATTTAGCGGGTCGTTTCTCGGTGACGTAGCGAGATTTCAAGTAGCCCTCGGCCATCTCGACACCCATAAATTCGCCAGGGTATATTCTCGCGACGAGACAGCCTCGTTTGCGTCGGGGTCGGGTCGAAAATCAGGCTGCGGACGATCCTCCACGTCCAATTTCCAACCGGGACACCGATAAATTCCTGGACTTTGACGCGTGGAACGAAATCGATATCTGTTTTTAATTTTAATTTCTCCACCCGATCTGATAGAAATCTCTGGCTTTCAGATGTGAATTTAGAGCATTGCGATTGCATTTCGTGAGTCTTGAGCGAAGAAATGGAGGATTCTTTGACAGAGGATAAGGAAAAGCGAGAATTCTAGGTACTTAAAATTTTAGAACGAAGTGATTTCTGAAGGGGATTGATTTTTGAAGTTGGAGTAAATAAAATATCGGATAATAATAACATCTTGCAATAATTCTTCTTCGAGTTTAGCCGGAAAAGTGGGAATTTCGAACAGTGAGAATCGTTTCATCATCAAATGGAAAAGAAGAAAAGAATTATCGAAGGGATATCGAAGTAATTAACTTGGGTGTAATGTTTGTTATGGGTGGAGTCTCTTACAAGGTTTTGTCACGTTCTCACAGGAAGCAATTACATTCACCGATGCACATTTCTCTTCGCACTATCGATTACCATTCTTGTATCGCACGGTGTGTGACAGAGATCACATTAATAAAAGGAAGTTCTCGAAATTGATCAAGGATCAAAAAAAAAAAGAACTATCTCTAATCATTGAAAGTTTTTATTCATCGAAAAAAAAAAAAAAGAAAACAATCAAATATTTTATCTAATCGCGAATTGTAAAAAGGACAAAATTTCAGAAAGAAGAAAATGAACAAGATACTTTTATCCAGCATAGAAAAAAAAACAGATTTTGACAGGGCGTCATCGAATATCGCGTCGTATCGGACAAGACCTTCTCTTCTCTGCTGTGAACCTGCTTGCCTTGGGTAGATACGCGTAGTTTAATAGGCCGAATTAATTGGAAATTTTTATCGTAACGTTTTCCACTCGTTCCAGTTTTATTTCACTCTTTCCCTCGTACAATCCCTCGATCACGTTTCAAGAACGTACATATATATATATATATACTTACGAGTTTTATGAAATTCTTCGATCTCTCCTCTCCAACCAACATTTATTCGAACAAAAGGATAGGAAAATGAAATATTCAATTGTCTCAAAGCAAGTAAAATTCCATCTCCCAGATAACTACACTTTTCTTTTTTTTTTTTTTCGTTAAAAAAGAATCGTTAAATAAATCATTGTCATAAACAACAATAGAAACCGATGATATATCACGAGAATATAAATTATTTATCCTCGTTCACACGATGGAAAAGATCCACGACAAATATTTACACGTTTACGCAACGGCCGACCGCTATCAAACGGTCCCTTTGCTCGTCCTCCCCTCGTCCGTGTATCTGGTTTATCCTGCGTTTAATATTTCATCGGATCGTTATTGACACCCGACAACGTTTATCGACACGTGTACACGGATCCTCTGACGCGTTTAATTACGAGAGGTGGTCGATCGAGGTGCAACAACGGATGAAGAGGTCGGAAAGAGGATCTCGGCCGGTTGAATCGGGTCAACCGCACCACGTTTCGTTTTGATCAATTATCCCGGCTTGCGCATTCGTTCTCTCGGCGTTTGATCGAGCGCGAAAGATATTGCGAGGAAATAGTAGAGATCTATGATGTGAAGGAAAAAAAGAGAGAGAGACGAAAAGAATCGGCGAAGATATATTTGTTGCCGTTGCTTTATAGCCGTTTTCGACACTTTCCTTTGCTTCTGTGCAATGTTTGATTCGGCTTCTTTCTTTTTCTTTCTTTTTTATAACGCGTCGCACGCGATGATTCATTTTTCTCGACATCGAATCGAACGGATTCGCGAAACGTTTGAATCCTGTGAGAAGAGCACTTTAACGCTAAGCACTTACCGAGTTGTTGTATATTTATCTTATTCTACCGCGTCGGTAAGCAATTTCTTGGAAAGAAAAGAAAAAAAGTAGAAAACTGAAAAATCTATTGTGTGGATATTTTATTAGGAAAAGTCATAAAGTAGCGATATGATAACTTTAAATATGTTTAAATATATGAAAAAGTTTGAACACGGTCACTTCTGCTAGGTCTTTAATGTTAAATGTGATAGAAATTATAAAAGGTGTTGTTCGAGAACAAATCACAAATATTACGATGCGATTGTTCATGTTTCGTGTTCAAAATAATCGAAAAATTCTTCTCTCTCTCCTTCATTTTCTGATCATCGCGAAAAAAACAAGCGAATCTTGGAATCGAGAGAGAGAGAAATAGGATGGTTGGAGGCACGCGTTCCCATGCATCGAAATCGCCGGATTTTGCAATTTCGCGTTTAATATTAATGTATTCGGAGGCGCGTACGAGGCGACGACAAATTACCGAGCCTCGTCACTGTCCCTTTTAACGCTTTGCTGCTTAAACGCGGCCCCAGCCTCCTTTTATTATGATGTATCGCGTTCTGCATATTAACACGGCCGACTAAATAAACGTCTGCTCCCTTCCCGCCTTCAATTTTCCAATTTACCCGGTTCACGATTTCTCGTTTCCACCGGTTTTTCCCCGGAGAACCACGCTCTGGGAGAACCACGTTCCAATCTTTTTAGTTACAAATGCATTTAAACGTGAAAAGATTGATTTTAATCGTGACTTATAAGTAACGAACTTGATTCCTTTGAAGATAATTTGAGTAGTGAATTCTTAGAAAATTTTAAATTCTGTAATGAAGTTAATTTTCGATACCAATTTTTTAGATAAACCAGCCGATCCTTTTAAAAATCATTTTAAAATCCCTCTCGATTCGCGATTCTCGTTTTTCTTTTTTCGAAAAAGTTTGAATTTTTGATTAAACTAACGATATAAATAATACATGATTAATTCGATTTCTTTGAAGATAATTTATAATAACATTTTCATTGATACTTTTCTAAAACAACAATTAATTTTAAATTTACAACAACAAGTTTCTACAAATTCATAGAAAATTCTAAATTCTAAATAATCAATTTTAAAATGATTTAAGATAAACGATTTTAAAAATCCGTTTAATTTCTCTCGATTCTTTTTCCGGAAAAGAGTGCGATAGAGTGAGAGGGAGATCGAGTCATGAATCGGCTCGATCAGTTTCTTTTTCTCGCGCTTGAAATTCCTGATCCCCTTTTTTTTCTTCTTCTTATCCTTCTCGTTTTTTTCTTTCTTTCTTTTTTTTTTTTTTTATTGAACGCGATGCTCGAGGCTGATTGGAGTGTGAATTTAATTGCAAGAGCGTGCGGTCGAGACAGTGAAAGGTGGAGGATCGAGGTTGGTTGCGATGCGGAGGACGCTTCCGGTTTGGGTTTTAAACCCGCTCTACAGACTTGATTCATAAGTAAGAGAGACAATTTTTTATCGTAAATCGGAATTTTTCATTTTAAAATCAACGATTATAAAAGATACAATTTAATTTTTCATCTCCCAATCTTTGATCACTCGTCCATATATAATAATCCAAAAACTAAACTTCGAACCCTTCGAAACAAGCCAAGGTTGAAAAATCTAACGAATTACGAACCTACGATATAAAAATAAAGGAAGAAAATTAATTTTACACGATCCGACGATCGTTTTTGAATCACCCTATAATTATCCAAATGCCCGTCGATACAATATAATAAAATTACGCATAATCGGCTAACGAACCGCTTTTACGCTTACAACGTGCAACGATTAGGCCCCTCGTGGCCGTTTACACGGCCGTGCATCGCGCATCGATTCCATACAAAGCCATGGTGCGCAGGATGCAAAGACCTGGTCTCCGGCTCGTATCGAGAAGTTTAAGGCCGGTAGCCCACCCAGAAGCCGCCATTGTATCCTCGTTACCCATCGAACGCATAAAACGTATATACATGTATATATATATACAAGTACGTAGACATAAAATTGTGTTGGAAAAGGGGATACGATGAAAAATCTAGGCTGTCTTGGTTCTCCTTTTAATCGCCGTTTTACCGCGAGGCAAACTCGCGAGGAACGAGTTGTTGTTTCATCTCGCTTTGCGGATAACTTTGCGGTGTTTATTTATTTTGGAATAATTGTAACGCAATTGTTTTTCCATCCTTCTTTTGTCTTTGTCGAGATAATATTTATTGGAAAAGATATTTTGTAGATTTGGAACGAAAGGAGGATGATCAATTTCCAATAAAGTTGGATAAAGTTGATTCCAGAGTTTGAATTGGAACATTTTCTAATTGTGTTTTTCTGATATGGGATCTAATATAGGAAAGGAATTTGATGAGATGATAATTTTCACGAATTAAATTTTTATCAATCGATAAGTAATGTTGAACGAGAACGAATAACGAACGTACGATTAATTTCAATATCCAATACAATTTCCAAGCGTCGAGCCAATACAAATCAAATTTATCAACATAACGTTGCGTCGTTAATAAATCTTTTGGACTTGTCCATCTGGATCTATTTAAAGAACAAACGTATCGTTCCAGTTGGCGAAACAAAATGGCAAACTCTCGAAAGGGTGACTCATCTCGCGTTTGCAATTAATTTAGCCATCGAAAAAAAAAAAAAAAAGGAAGAAGCAAGAAAATTTTAATTACTCGATGCGCCTGTTGGCAATTACGATCCGTGTTGTGTTTGTTCGTATAAAATACAAAGAGAGATATATTAAAATGGAAAGAAGAATCGTTCAATAAAACGATTTCTTCAGAATTTCTTCAGAACATGTGAGAACATTTTTTTTTTTTTCCCCAAGAGACGAGACGAGAAATACATGGGGGAAAAGAACGTTTCAAAAATATTTGATTGACCGGCCGAATCGTTCGAAAATTTCGCTATCGAGCGGATATCGAGTTTCGTATATTTCGGGCCAAGTGGGTTGGAAGAATGTCGTACGGTTTCCAACCGTGTACTCGATATTTGCGAATCGGACGTCGAGGGTGGCGAAAGCGAGGCTGTAATTCGAGTAGAGAAAGTGAAACAGTGTTTTAAGAACTGGTCCGGCGTTAAGAGGGTAACAATTTCGAAATTGAGCCTTTCGAGCTTTTGATCGAAGTGCACGAGTCGATCGTATTGCTATTACGACGATAGATTTTTTCTTTTTTTCGCTTCACAAAGTGCGTAAAATTATTATTATTATTATTATTATTATTACATAGTTAGTGCCTGATTAAAATTGTTTCAACTTTCTCGAAATTATATTACATCTCGAAATTGCTAGAAATTATATTTTACGAGAAATTGCACAACAATTAATTTTGCTCAAACAAAATTGCATCGCATTTTCTCTCAAAGTTGTTTAATTTAATCGACAACTTTTAACTTTTGAATTTTGTCGAATAATTTTTGGATATTACCGCCTACACACCGATCCTATTTCTATCATTAAAATAAAAAAGAAAGAAAGAAAAGTGACGAGAAATATATCGTATGTATTTCCAAATTCGAAATGTGACGTCTCCTTCTCAGAAATTAACACATCGAGAAATTTCTGGAAAGATCGACCGAATTAACAAAGATCTCTCTGCCGACTCATTGCAAACCACTTCCCACACAAATTTCCCATTCTTAAATTAAAAAAAAAAAACGAAAGTGAACCATACCACGCATCCAACCATCTCTCTCTCTCTCTCTCTCTCTCTCCCCCGAAAACCATCGAGAACCAAGACAAAAATCCAAAAATTAATCTTAAAGAAAAAAAAAGAATCTATAAATTTCCCCTTCTAAAGCTAAAAAGAAAAATCTCGTTCGTGGCGAAATTAACTCTCCGTCCCTTGGAAAAATCCAGAAAAACGAAATCGAAATGGAAGAGGAAAGAAAGAATCGAAATGGAGAAAGGTTGATCTCTTTTCCTTTCGATGACCGGCCTTTCGTGGATCAGCTGTGCTCCCCGTTCGAAAGGTCGATGAGTTGTTTGAGGCGGCGGCGGATTTCGAGGTCGTTGCCAGCGGTGCGCGTTCGAAAAGGCGAAAAGATATCGCGGAGTGGGCAGCGGAGAGGGACAGCGGTGAACGGTGAGGAGGATTTAGCCGGGATAAAGGGAGGGAGGATGGAGGAGAGAAAAACGGCGTTCTTGCCAAGAGAGTTCTCGGTAACCCTGAAGTCAGTCTTTGTGCCATCGGATAGCCACGTCCCCGTCGAGGTGCACGCGCCTGCAGGAATGCAAATCGCGAATGCACCGGGCGTACCAAAGCCGATTCTCTCTCCTCTTTTCTCTTCCCCTCTCATTTCTTCGCTCCAACCAGGACGCGGTATTTCGTATCATCGACTCGATTCGAGGTGATGGATAGGTTCGACAGGGACGTTCTTCCTCCCTCGTTTTCGTCCATGCTTTGGAAAGGGGAGGGAGGTAATAACGTTGTACACGTTGTCTCTGCTGGTGGTCGTTGAATTTTTGTCGTGGATTAAAGTTTCTCGAGGGAATATGTTGAATTCGTTGAATTTTTGGAACTTAAATTGGAGGAGAGGATCGATTTTTGTGGTAGTAGGTTATAGAGTTTGGATAAAATTTGGATGGATTCTATGAAAAGGAATCTTGAATGAAAAATAATTTTGTTATGTTGCGGAAAGGATGTTGGATCGATCCAAATGTTCTTCTCAAGGAATCCCCCTCCTCCTGGTTGAGGAATCGAGGAGGAGGGATTTAATTTTAAAAAATAATAATAAACTTTTCATATTTCCATTCAGTTTCGTTATTTAACTTCACTATGAAATTAATTGTATTTGCTCATTCAAACAAACACAATTAACACATAGCGAAGCGTCTTTATATTTCTTCATAAACATGCAAATTGCAAATGCAATGAAAATACGATAAAATAGACGGTCGTTCGATTTTTCTCTTTTCCCTTTGCAATCTTCTGCTGTTGCAAATCAAGCAATTTACACAATACGAATAATTCAAATGGCTGTCCATATCCTTTATGGGCAATAACGTTCGAAACGATTTCGAAAGACTTTAAGAGCTTCGGCAGATCATGATGATTACGAGGAAAAAATTCCAAGATGGATAATAAAATCGATTCGAAATGATTGGTGGCACGTGTCTGAATTTTTATTTTTTCCTCGTGTGACGCTTATTATTCGCTTGGTTGATGGATATTGCATTACCCTGTTGTGAAAAACAATAGATAGAAGTTGCTATTGTGAGAGAATATTTAATGGCTCATTCATGGTCGCACGTGACTCGTAAAGAAATTTTTTCAAATATATGTGTTTTGACATTGTAACATTAATATACAATGAAATAGAAAGTATCAAACGTGGTGTATCAAATCGATAAATTTTAATTTTTCCCGTATCCGCGCGAATCTCGAGAGTGTTGAATTCTTTTCTTTAATTTTTCTATCGAAAAAAAAGAAAAAAGAAATCGACAAAATAAAATCATTAAAATTTCAACGAAAAAAACCTTGATGATTCCAGTCCGATCCAACTTGAATTTCCTTCCTTTTCTGTCTATCGACGACAACCTTCCTCGATCTGTTTATAGA